AGAGCGTTAAATCATGCTACTTGAATAAAGAACATGCTACAGATCGCGTTACGAAAGTGCGTTTTCAAAAACTGCATTATTTTTGTGCAAAAAGATTTTACTTACTATCCGGGCTGTATTGCACCAGCATTGTAATCGAATTACCACACTGACGTAGAACATTAGCAGCCAGTTGATAGGTCGCACTTCGCATATTTATACCGCAAACCTCCAACAACTGATCACCAATTTGTAAGCCGACTTGCGATGCCAGGCTGTGCTCATATACGGTGGAGACGAACACACCACCACTCTCCAGACACGAGATTTGAATTCCCAGCGGCTCCACGGACTTGTCTATATGGACCCTGCGCAGTTCTCCGGGTGCTGGCCGTGGTTGCGAGTAACAATAATCTGGCATACTGGCGCGCTTGTTGCTGCTACTGTTTCCTCTCACAGTACCACCGCTGCTTCCAATCCCGCTAGTGCTGCCGGTGCCTGGGCTCAACACTTCTACGTGAAATGTCGGCATCGGGCTGCCACGCTCGGAAGTTCTTTCTATGCTGCCAGTAGACAATTTGCCAACACTACTCTTGGACGTGACACTGGTGTTGGACGGTATACGGATGCGCTGGTCTTCCTTCCGGCCTGGCAATGTGCCACCTTCATATCCATGCCCGTAGATAGACGTGTCGCAGGGTATACCGAGCGGAAGTGCACGTGGCTTATGATAGTGCAGTTCTACGGAGGGCGTGTGCAGATGGCCGAAAGTGGTCGGGGTCGTCTGCGAAGGTCCGGGGCTATACGGGGGCTCGAAACAGTAGGTACGTGCATCAGGCAGGCCTATGGACTCGCCTGATTGCGCGGACGGCAGCGACGGTGGCGAGGGATAACGTGAGGGCAAGGAATTCTGGTGCTGAGTGGGATGCGGATGCAGATGATGCAGGTGCGACGACGCGGCGTACGGATGATGCGAGGGAAATGGAAAGTTACCAGGTGCCATTTGCTGTCGCGACGTCGGCCCGCTGGTGGTCGACGCGGCAGACGTAGACGAACCACCAATGCCCGATGAATAGAGCTGCGAGTGAACGCGATTATGCTGTAGTGTATCCGTGGTCACCTGCGTATCGCTACTGCTGCCGGTCGTGTACTTTTGCGGCCGTTTGTTCGCGAAGTACGAGTCGACGTCGCGGCCGGCACCGCCGGACTTGACCGAAAAATCGATGCTAGTCTCGGATGGCGCCAGCGCGGAGCCAAGTCGCCCGGTCTCCGACGTGCTGCTCTCGAACTCCGTCGACGGCGGCTTCTTGCCACCGTCGATCGGGATGTCCTTGAACTGCACCGCCGGCGTGAACGACGGCTTCTGGTTAAAGAGCTGTCCGGTCTTGAAGCTCGGTAGCGGGGTCTCCACTGCTTTGTAAACGGTATGACGATTATTGACATTGGAAAAATTGGTCAGGGGGATGGGGTTGGAGATACGATTATAATTATAATTATCGTATTTTGGTGGATGCAGGAGTACACTGAGAGGGAAACGTTCTTTCGATTTGCGCGGGTGCAATATAGTACCGGTCCCATTTTGTATGAGGGGTCCGCCACGCGCCTTCGGCCATGTGCCGCCGTTCTTCTCAATCTTCTCAGTGCCACGGCGCTTGCTGCGCTTCAACACGCCGTTGTTGCTGTTGCTCGCCTTCTTGTGGTAGCTGTCGATCACCGAATCCAGTTCCGCTATCGCGTCCTGCTCCTGCTCAAATGTATTCGGACTAGAGTTGCGATGGCCCTTCTTCTTGCTATCGTCGCGCTCCTTGCTGTGTTTGCGACCACGCACTATGTCAATCTTTTCTCTAAAGTTGTCCCAAGCATTGCTGATTCCGCTCGATTTCTCGCCGCTCACAGATTTTGCAGCCTTGTAGACATTACGGTCAGCGAAATTCGTTGACAGATATCGTCTCTCGTAGTCATCTGATGAGGCTTTCAGCATCATTCTCTCCTGCTCAGTTTGCGAACAGCTATTTACCATCTTTTGTTTCTCCGCAACAAAACTGCCGTCTATCGCCACCGTCTCCGAGCTGGCGGCGGAGGGTACCGGAATACCTTTCAATGTCGTGATGGTTAGTACATCTACAGTATCATCGTTTAGAATAGCCATCGCTTCATGCGCTGTAGTTATAGTGTCCATGGATTTACTATTAATCTGAAAATAAATATAGAAAGTAAATACAATGTTAAATAAAATGTTTAACTTAAAAAAAAAGCCATTTATGACGTACATTTGTCATGTACGTTATATAACAAGTATTTATTAATCTACCATATATAAATTATAAATAATGTGATAAAGTGTTTCATATAACTTACGTTTAATACCCTGTCTCCCACAGCAAGATTTCCATCTTTAGCAGCCAAGCTCCCAGGTGATATTTTCGAAATGTAGATGCCAAGTTCTAAAGTAATACCATGTGGCACTGTGCCGACCGATAACTGTGTAGTTCTCAATGATCGCCTGGTTATTCGTCGCCGCTTTACGATTAATGTTGCCGGATTCACGGTGGACGAGCGCAGAGTTTCTAAGATCACACGGGTCGACACAGACGTGCAATCAACATTATTCACTCGCACAATACAATCGTTCACCCGTAGTTTACCATCGAGAGCGCTACCTTGTGTCACCTGCGCGACGTAGACCCCAGTATCGTTCGGATAATACGGGCTGTCGCGGCCGCCGACGAGGATTAGTCCCAAGTCACCACGATCTGAATCCAAGCAAATTCTACCGGGTTCGACGTGAATTGGAATCATATCCCAGTCGTTACTATCATCAATCTGCGCCAACTGACTAGTTCGCAATGCATGGTCGCCAAACTCGATTTTCTCCTTCAGATCCTTCAATTCCTTCGACGCTTCGTTTCGTTGCTTCTTAATATCGTCGGAGTCGCGTAGGGCACCGGCCAATTCAGAGACCGCGCGATCGCGCTCCTTCCGTAATCTATCACATAGAGTTCTTATGCTTTCACGTTCCAACACTATCTTGTCGCGCTCGCTGAAGGCCCAATCTCTCCTTCTTTTAGACACCTCGGCTTCTTGAACGGCCTCCTCCAGCTCCGCTTGAAGAGTATCCACGGATTTCCTGAGTTTATCCAACTCCAAATTAGCTTGCTCCAAGTTATCCATGCGTTGTTTGTCTCGCGTCGCGTAATCTCTCGTGTTAGTCTCCTTTTCGGCCTCCTTGCTGACACTGTCGCGTTCGTGACTGAGCGAGTTCAATTCTAAACGATGCTTATAGTCCCTGCTAGAACCTTCGGAGTAATCACCGAATTTCTGCCGTAATTCATTGCATAGCTTCAGGGTGTCGTCTCTGTCTTGCAAAGCGGAAGAGATCTCTCTCTTTAGAGTCTCGATTTGATAAGATAATGTTTTCTTCTGCAAACAAAACGGCACCGATGTAACAAATTGTATCAACAGTATAATAATAATTTATTTCAATTCAAAATTGCACAGATAATATCGGCGATTTCTAATGACTTTAGCAAGAATAAGGTTGTTACCTTTGGAAAATAAACACGTGTGATGCATGCAATAGTTATAACTATTATCTTTAATCTTGACACTTCTCTTTTAGTACTAACGTTAAATGTAGTATTAACTTATATATAACTTATATATAAGTATCGACAGCGACAGACTCAACTGAAGACAAAAGCGTATTGATAATCGTAACTGTCAGACGTAAACTGAAAGTTTCCAACCTTGTAATAATTTGCTTCACACGATCTCGTTTCGCAATCGTTCGTGACACGAACTAAATGCTTCTATGCATCGGAAGAGTATGTTATTGTCGATACTATTGAAATGTTATTGTACGTATTTAGTTATTACGATCAAAGACAGAATGAAACAAGTACATTATACCGAGAATAAAAATAAATAATATTTATTATTTTTCTTACTCGATTATTCGGTTCATTACCTCCTCAACAAGCTGCTTATTCTGCGTTTCCAAATGCGTGACTTTTGTGTACGCTTGCGTGAGATCGTCACCTAACTTCTCAATTTCCTTGTGTACCGTGTCTCGTTCTCCCATGATCAAGCTGTATTCCTGCAGGGCGGCATTTCGTTCTTCTGTGAGACGTTTCATATCCTTGCTGGCCTTCATACGCAGCATCATCGCCTGATTGATCTCCTTGACCGCTTCCTCGTGCTGTTGCTGTACCTTTGCGAGTGCTTCACGATACTCGTTTCTCTCTCTTAATGCAATGTCCCACTGACGAATCGCGGCGGTACACTGCTGTTTCAAACCGTTGCGCTCGCGGAGTGCGCTGTTACGTTCCTCTAGAACGCTGTCGTACTGCTTCTTTAATCTCTTTGCTTCCTCTTGCGATAACTCTAGCTGTATTGATCACACGAGTAATTTTTGCATAAGTTTTCATTGCGCAGAAAAATATGCGCGTCAACATTGCATATAGGAATAACGCCTATCGACTACTTGCCTTATTAACGGCGGAAGAATGAGACGCAATAAGGTCGTCGTACCGTTTCCTGAGGGAATCGTATTCGTCCTTAACAGCTTCGTATTTTCGTAACGCGGAGAGATAGTGCTGATTCATAGCATCGTTGCCCGTAGCATCGGCGACGAGTACCTCTTGGTTCTGCATGCGCTGCAATTCTGAAAGTTCTTTCTGCAGTGACTGGACCTCCCGGTCCAATCGTTGCTTGTCGTTTGCCAGATCACCATATTTTGCTCGTAACGAAGAGCTTTCTTGCGATGTGGCTTCTAGTTGATTCATGACTGCTATATGTTGCCCCCGATAATACTCCAATTCTTTCATAGTAATCTCACACCTGTATATTATAGACTTCTGTTTACAAGCCCTTATAATTATTAGCCTGAAAGTGCCAAGTTTTTAAGCATCAAGCATATGAAAAAAAACTGTGAGATGTGTAAATATGTACATACATAATTGAAAGTATGTTAAAATAAACAAAGTGACGAGAAAGGGATATAAAGAAAAAAAGAGAGATAGATGCGAAAAGCAAGACAAAGATAAAACAAAATCAAAACAAACCGTCTTATGGTATCGGAGTGCTTATGCCTAAGTAGCTGAAGCTGATGCATCGCCTGATCACATTGAGCCTGCAAACCGTCATAGTCGCTACGACATTCGGGGCCACCAACTGGGCTTCCAACACTGCCATAACTTCCACTATCCCCCTCTGGTTTTATGCCACAAGTGTCAATTCCAATAGCAAACATATCAGGGAAATAATCGATGTAACTTAATATAAAATGTAAAATGTACGTGTGAAAATGGAACATGTTTGATTTTATGTAATTTGTGATAAATTAAATATACGGAAAACACATTTCAAAGAAAAAAAAGTATGTTGCGCATACTACATTGGTGGATATAAACAGATTTAATTGTTCTCAAGCATTATACAGAAATACTAAAAATGCGACAAGAGGTATCACATAGAGATTCTATTAAAAATGTGACGTATATTGACGGTCTATACATATATGCACATGTATTTTTGTAACACTTGTTTAAAAATAACTCTTACCCATGTTAAGTGCACCATCTGGAAAATTAATTATAAACACCTGTATTACTTCAAGATGTAAATACTAATCACGCATAAAGGAACATAGAGAAACATAAATAAAGAAAAAGAACGAATAAAATAAGTAAAAGTATGAATACTACCCCGAATAGTGTGTTAAATTTCACAATAAAATTTAAAAGTCTGATATGCTTGTTACAGTAGAAGGAACAACATAATCAGAGGTCTCGCTAGCTTTCACCAGGAAAGAAACTCTAGGTCACGCATGTAAGCATAGTTTGACTCATTGTTTTCCTCAGCTAATAAAATTATCAACGATATTTCATTATTACAACTTCAGTATAACAAGATATCTATCGTGTCCCTTTCAAATCTACATATTTGTTTTTTAATATTTTATTTACCGAGAACGCTATTTTATTTAACGCAAAAATAATTATTCTGTACTATTCTACAGAAACAATTACCTTGCGAAATTATATCTCAACTCATGAAAATAAATAAGAATCACGATTGAAATGTAATATCTAATTCTGGGCTCTGAAACAAATATTCTCTTCGAGACCTACATTTCATCCTAAGGAGACTTCTCAAACGCGCTGCGGAGTTTAATTCTCCGATAAAAATATTTCTGCGACGATGTCGAGGACGACGACGTATCGTCCTGACGTCGCAATTAAAAATACAATGACGCGCTGACGTTAGCCGTACATATACAGTGGAGAGAGACGTTATCGAGCGTACGGCCCGTTCTCTCCGCACAAAAAGGAGTTGAAAATAAAAACTGTCACTCACCGCTGCTCCCAGCACTGTCCAAGGAGGATGCACCAGAAGCCATGCTGCTCAGTGGTGAGTCTCAGGGCACCGCAAGAAGAAAAGAGACGGAGAGAAAGAGAGACACACACACACACAGAGCGAGCACCCTATATTCGTATGTGTGTGGGTGTGTGTGACTGCCGTCTACCAGCACAGGCACCTGTCCTCACACGCCAACAGCAAAGTCCGAAGCGGCAGATATCGCCTGGAAAAGCGTGCCGTACACTACCCGTACTTCACGGAAGAGCGAACCCTTTGTAAATTACTAAGAAGCAGCCTTCGGGATGACATTATGGCCACTGTACATGCTCGTTTGTGTGTGTTTGTGTGAGCGAGCGCTCGCGCGCGCATGTATATGTGTCACGTCGCCGTCACGCTGCAACAGTGTATATATATCAGGGCCGTGTATTATCGGGAAAAAATACTATCAGGGGAGATAAATATTGCATCTGACAACGCGCGCGCGCGCATAAACGTTACTCCGATGCGCGTGTATGTGTATGTGTGCACACCTCCTCCTGTTCCTCCGCCACCGCCTCGACCTGTCGTCGCCGTCGACGTCTATATCCCCAATACACAGACACGTGTCGCGCGTACCATCCAAGAGATTTTCTATGCATCACTTCTCTCCCGTGCACTTCCGTGCGAGCGAGTTGGAGCGAGTGCACGCAGCAGGGAGAACGTGGGAGCGAGGAAGGAAGGGGAAGGGCGAGGGTGAGAGAGAAGGACGGTAGAGGATCCGCGACTAAGCTGACCGACCGACCGACACGCACGTCGCGGGGGAGGGAGGGATAACGCGTGTTTCTCAACGCGTAATAAATTTATCTCAGCGTGCCCTCATCGCGATGGATTCACGTGCGATTTCGATTCTCCGAACTCGCCGCTCGTTGTCTTTCCTTTTCTTCCCTCCGTCAACACTCCTGACTCGGTGAGTCTGACGTTTGTGAAAATACTCCGCGTTCGCCGAAGTCATCGTTAGCAGGCACTACAGAGGGGGGGGGGGGGAAGGTTGGGAAGGGGATCGCTAGTATCATCGACGCGAAGAGGAGAGAAATCTCAAAAACAATCTGATCTGATGATCGACGGTAATCACGTCGATGACGACGGTGAATCTTGATGACGAATTTCAAAACTTGTCTTTGGCCGCTGCCGTGCGCATTCTCGGGCCGTTCCTGCTCGCTCACGACAACGACGACAACGACGACGACGACGACGACGACGAAGACGATGCGTAAGCACAGGACGAGAAATCACATAGTCTGCTCGCTCACCTGCTGCACCAACCAGTCTGACAATTAGCCATTTTGGCTCGTCTGGCTGCGCGCGCGCGCGCGCGCGCATATGCCTTTCCGACGCGTATATCACTAATTAATCCCCCGTGTCGATAAACACAACACACAGCATGAACGGCGAACGTCGACTGTGGCAGACACAGTCGACTGTGGTCCGTCACAGAGCCACCGCTATCGAGCAACAACCAACTCTCGCGGAAGTCGACAAGTTCACTGCGTACGCGCGCCGCAAATCCGCGATTGTCGTTGAGGAGAGAGCCGTACGTTGGCGCATGCGCACTGATAGAATTGAACAGAACTGGGAACGTCCAGTTGAATTCTCAAATATCATTGGAGAATTCTGCTGGACTCGTCGACAATTTGCAATCCATTGGATGCTTTCCATTTGATGACACAGGTGTTGTTCTATCTTTGTCATTTTTTAAATGTCAAGAAGGATAGAAGGACGCTTGTGTCGACTTGGATTGACTTGTATCATCAAATGGAAAGCACTCATTTGCAATTGAGTGTGAAACCGATTTTAGAAGCATGCTTCGACAGTCAAGTCAGTTTCCATAAAAAAAAAGAGGGGATAATGTTGGTAGCAACGAAAATCTCTAGACGCCACAATTTAATTTTCTACGGATTGGTAACATTGTGTAAGTAGTATCGAAATAGAGAAAAATCTAATGAGAGAGAGAGAGAGAGAGAGAGAGAGAGAGAGAGAGAGAGAGAGAGCTAGAGAACGAGAGAGAGAGAGAGAGAGAGAGAGCTAGAGAACGAGAAAGAGAGCGAGAGAGAGGGGGGGCATGACAGCCTTTAGCGTTATTTAAAATACAATATTTTAAATAAAAATTATAAAAGAGTTATTTAGTATTTATTATTTTAAATAACTACACTGCTGACTTATTTTTTATTTGTTTTAATATAAATAAGTTTCCCTTAATCCGATTTATACCGATATCAAATCTATTTTAGATTTTTTATTTTAAACAAGTTGTATCTGTTTTTTACAGATTCCTACGATTCTGTATTCTAAATAAGTTTCTGGAACTTATTTTATATTTTTTATTTTAAATAATTCGTAAGTTATTTTACCGAGTCATAATCGACATTATACATAAGTTTAAAAAAATTTTTGAAATACAGAATAATTTGCAGTAATAGTAGTGTCTTAAATTAATTTATTAACTGAAAAATTAAATAATGCTTAACAAGATATTTAGTGCTTTTAGCCAAAGCTGTATTTAGCACAAATTGTTTCACGATATTAAGAAAATTTGCATATATCTTATAAAAGGATCTATAGAATATTAATAACCTTTAGCATGAATTATTTAAAAATATAATGAAGATTGAGATATAATGTTGGAATATCAAAAATATCTCACACGCGAATAATTATCAATTATGTTTAAAAGAATCGCGGAAGTATTATAATATAGGATTAAACTAATACCAGAGATGCCACAAAGCAAAACGCGAAATGTACGGCGATACCCGTTTGTCAAAATCATGTAAAATACAAATAATTGAATAAACCGTTGAATATTTTTCATACGCGATAATCGGGTGTAATCTAAACAAACGAAAAGCGAGGGGAAACGTGTCGCGCGGAAAAAACCAAGGGAAGGGACGCGCGGCGAGAAGCGGGGGGGAGGCTCGCGCGGCGAAAAGCGATGGGGAGCGTGCCTATGTCGCTACGTCATCACTTCGGCATTCGCTTGGCGCCCGCTGAGGGAGACGGACGCGTGACACGGTCGCTACGGGTGTCGCGCATTAATCTACGAAAATTAGATATTCACGAACGCGAATTGATAATTAATTGCTTAAGGCTGCCCTAATGTAGTAATGTTGCTCAAAACTAAGGTGTGTATTAAGAGTTATATCTCAATCTTTATTCTCTTTGATCATTTACATATAAATAAAGATTAATAATAAATTATACGTTTTTAAATAAAGATAAACGCAAACATTTTTTAAATTATATATAAAACAATTTCGACTAAATTTAATAATTGATATAAACAGAATTTATATTATATATTTACGGATATATAAATTAGAGATATCTAAGGGCGGTATTCGTAGTCCGTTCTTATTTCAAGACTGCCTTAAGTAATGTCTTAAGACGTTAATACGGTCCTTTGATTCGTGACTTTTTAAGACAGTCTTGAATATAAACTCTGACTATGAATACCGGCCCAAGATATAGTTGTGTGCGTAACGAATACAAAAAATAAAACAAAAATCGTATAATATTCATCGAAGAATATATATTAAAACGAGTAGATTATTTTATTAATCTTGTAATACGCTCAATCATTTTCCTGGAATCTTGTTAACGACAAAATTCCAGGAAAATGATGTTGATATTTCGACAGTTAGACGATCGGCGCGCGACCTTGGGATGGGGATGGCACAGGGTGGCACGGAGCGGCGCGTCATGTTTACGCGTAGTACGGCACAGTTATTTTCTTACCAAAGCTCGTACAGGCAGGTAGACGTGTTTCGCATGCCGCTCTTCTTTACATTCCTTTTTGAAACATAATCGTGAAAAATATAATACAAAACTTTATGAATAATTTATCACACTAGCAATATTATCGTATTATGTGAATATTCATATAATATAACGTTTCGTATTATATTTTTTCCGATTTTTCGTTTCAAAAAAAATGTGAAGAAAAGCGGCACGCGACACGGCTACTTGTCTGTATCGCACGAGTTATAAAAAAGGAACGTTAATATATGAATACTTTCATGCAATAATTTTTTGTTTTTATGTATTTTTCATTATCACGATCCGTTTAAAAATTAACCGCAACTTTGGAACTATTTATCGGTAATGAAAGAAACATTTCTCTTTTATATTAATCTCTATTTCATTCTAGATATCTCTATTTCACTCTAATCATATATTACAGGCATCATCTATGTATAAATAAAAGATTCAGTTTTTTATCTGCTTCGACTTTATTTTGCAATGACGTGATATTCGTAAAAGTGTACCGATTTGCATAGTAATTGCGTAGTAATATAGATAATAATTATATATTACATTTTTCAGATTATCTTCCCTCTCAAGGGTACACCTTGACGTGGTGGGAGGGCTCAGTACCCAGCGGATATTTACACAGAAAAGAATGGTTTTTCTTAAATCTAAAAATTTTCGGATATGTCTGAATATATCGAGATAAATTTTTAGATATTGAGTAAAATCATTCTCTTCGTGTAAAAATCCAATGGGGAAGCTAACGTACCCTCGTCGCCGATTTACTGAAAAATAAACGAACCGCAGCCGGTTCGTCGCGTCGCGCGTTTCGGGAGTGCCGTTCAAGTTATCGGACTCAAGTCCGCGCGCGATTATAGTGTATTCGCGAGTGTTGTACGCGAGTGTCCTGTGCGAGAGGATGACAACCATATTCTGAGAGGAGGAGGAAGTCTGGGAGAGACATCGGGCATCGGTGGAGCAACATTGCGGTAAATGTTATTTTTTACTTGTGTAAAATTAATCTTTTTTTTGCTCGTTTTTAAATCATTTCATTGACAATGATTTAAAAATGATTATTTTATAAAATTATTTTATAGAATTTTATGTAATTATTTTATAGAA